TATATGTTAACAGTTAATAAATTATAAAAAGAATATGTCTATACTAGAAAATCATGTCAGCAGTAAACTGCAGTAAAATAACTTTAAATCACATTTTTATTTTTAAATATGCATTCAAATGCCATTTACAGACCAAGAATGCATAATCAAAGATTGAAAAGAATGAGCACTTTTAATTAACCCATTCCTGCCAAGAAAATGATGTTTACTGTAGTATTGTTTTATGAAATGTATCTACACACAGATGGCTCCACAAGTACCCACCTGATTTTCCCCTTCCTTGTGTTTTCTGGATTTTTTTATGCTATTAATATTTATACTGTTATTATCATGAAGAGATCATAATGATATTTTAATTATTAGTGTTATTAACAATATTAATTAAAGGTGAAAAAGGTGAGACTAGTGATCCACTTACTGGTGACTAAGTACTTGTGAAACCATCTATGCAAAAATACTATAAATAAAATACTGTAGGTAGGGTAGGTTTGTATGAGTCAACCCTGGTGGCATTGGCCTAAAAGATAAATGGTTTTCTTACTATCCTTTTCTAATAAAAAATAATTTGAGCAAGCCTTATGGCCTAAATATAATCTGATATGATTTTGACTTTTAGTAAACAAAAAATAAAATGAAAAGAAAATAAAGGAAGAAAATGCTTTTGAATTTTTTTTATATCAATTATCTTAGCTTCATTTTAGTTACCTATTCACATTTAAAATTCCAAAGCCATAAGCTACAAAGCTCTCTCTAAACATTTCTATGAGAAACCAATGGCATTCTAGGAAAAAATGCCACACCCAGTACATCTGGGGCGGAAGTAAAAGCATTGCAGCTCATGCAAACAGCATTTAAGGAAATACCTCATTAAATGCTAACCAGTACATTCTAATTTCCAAGTTCATTCTTTATTCTGATGACTTTTTTATCAGTTGGTTGGAACTCTACCAAAAAGATCAATAGTAGTATCTAATGAACAATAGGTGAACAGTGCTCTTGCTATATATATTGTCAAAGCTTTCTTACTATATTGAACTTGAGATTAACTTTGGGTCCACACAATCTAACTCTTATATGTGAACTATTTATTATTATTATAATTATTATTTATTTAGATACTACTGTAATCTGGCTTTTCATGTTCAATGTCTAATTGTTCTAAAATCCAACATACTGGATGAACAATGCATACACTTGTAATAATTTCTTATCCTTCTTTTCTTGAGGGGGAGACATTACTCATCAAGAAACCTAGGTTATAATTATGAATTTCAGTTATGAAATATACTCATATTGCTCCCATGTTAGTGTGCGAGGGTATGGGTTGGGCATGGGGTATCAAAACATATGCATATCATAACATATCAATCATATTACACGTCCAGCCATTTCAAAGCTACCTTATGTTACAAGTACGATCTTAGTTCTGAAGTGGAAACTCATAATTCTTCCAGTCACATACTTTCTTGCAGCCGAAGAGGATCAGATCAGAATCTTCTGTTATAATAAGTTGAGCAACGCCACTCAAATTCAGGTAAGCCAGCTGTGAGTCTGCTTCATATGGGGCCACTGTAAATATAATAAAAAATATATAACATTGGCTTGCCTTATATAAAACATACTATAGAGACAAATAAATTCATAGAAAATGAAAGGTAAACAAAAGTAGATGACATGTTGAAATATATCAACTCTTCTTCTGACAGAAACAAGAAAAAATGGAGGATAATTGTTAACAAAAGGAATGCATCAAGTGATGCAAAGGCAAAAATGCAAAAAGGACATGAAAGAAAGAAAGAAAGAAAGAAGAAAATCTTATTCTATGGCAAGAAAGTGCATAGAACAGTTTTATACATAAAATGTCAAATAAATATCATCACTTACTATTTCATACAAAGAAAGACAGACTAAACAGATAATAAGGGTAAAAGATTACCTATAACATCTATATTTCTAGCACGGCAAGCCCTGATGGTATCAGCTGCCATTTCTGATGTGATGTCAACACATCTCTGGAAACATTCTCGTGCTTCTTTTGCCTTCCCTTCACGTAAGAGTTCCTTAGCCTTCTTGCGATTTTTTTCACGGTTCCTGAAGATACAGTACAGGCCAAGTATCATTTTCTATACTGTGAATTCAATTGCCAACAATATACATTTATGCATATTCATCATGAGAACACCTGCTTGCACATGCACATATACATGCACACACAAGCACAGATACACACATCCACACACAGGAATAGAACAGTTAACTTACTCTCTTCTTTTTTTCTCAGTTATGGCTTTTGATGGAAGATGACATCCATCGAAGACTAGGATTGGCTTAATATCATAGCTCAGGAGCTGGTTAACCTGTTTCATAACATACAACACATATCTGAAAAGTAGACATGACATTATGCAGTACGTTTCAGTGGTAATAGTATAGCAGCGCATTAGAGAGAGAAAGAGAGAGAGAGAGAGAGAGAGAGAGAGAGAGAGAGAGAGAGAGAGAGAGAGAGAGAGAGAGAGAGAGAGAGAGAGAGAGAGAGAGAGAGAGAGAGAGAGAGAGAGAGAGAGAGAGAGAGAGAGAGAGAGAGAGAGAGAGAGAGAGAGAGAGAGAGAGAGAGAGAGAGAGAGAGAGAGAGAGAGAGAGAGAGAGAGAGAGAGAGAGAGAGAGAGAGAGAGAGAGAGAGAGAGAGAGAGAGAGAGAGAGAGAGAGAGAGAGAGAGAGAGAGAGAGAGAGAGAGAGAGAGAGAGAGAGAGAGAGAGAGAGAGAGAGAGAGACACACACACACACACACACCACACACTTATCTGTGTATGAGCAAATTTCCACCTGAGCAGATTTGGACACATCTTTAAAACATATATAGTTGATAATCATAGTCTCCACTTTGAACAACTAAGACCAAAGTGGTGCTGGTAAGTGTAAGTGTGAATTTCAATTAAATTTGAATTGGCTACTGGCCTATTATGTTTGCTACCCACTCCTTATTTCCAGAGTCAGCTGAATTCAAAAGAAAACTACATATCTGTCACAACTGCCGTGCATCACACTTTGGTGCCAAGATCTCTTTGGGTTTCTCTGTCCATAGCGGTAAGCGGAGATAAGTGTGTATGATCTGTCTACACTCGCTAGTCATTATTACTATCATCTTAAAATGAAGTACGTCAACTGAATACGATATGATCTCTGCCCTCCCCCTAAAAATGGAAAAAAAAAAAAGGTCTCCCAAGCCTGATGGATGAAGACAGGTTGCTATCATAATGTTCCATACAAGTGAAAAAAATACTGGATTTAGATAAAGTTTGGTTTTATTCATATTTGATATCTTAAAAAAATATCATAATGTCAGGTTTAATTTCAGTACAACAGCCGTCGGATAAATTAATGCCTTTTTCTATTTTGATTTTTAATAATTTTTAATCTTAATTTTAATATTAATTTTTCTATTTATTATTTTCTATTATATTTTATTTCTATTTCTATTTATCTATTTTGAGCCAGTGTTCGTGGAACAGACGACAGGAAAGCACATCTCCGTGACGAAAGCGAGCATTGGAATCGATCCAATGACACCAAAATTACAAAAAAATTAAACCTTGTATACGTAAACCCCACTCTTCAAACAAGTACACTTCTTAACAATATTAACAAAAAGGGTGACTTACCCATCTGTTGGTTCTCCACGAACAAGTTTATCTGCACAAGAGAAAGCCCCTTTATGTAGCCAGCAGTAGGCATCCACGGCAACAGTTTGACCCTTAAAATCACGGAGATTTACTGCTCTTGAAGCCTTTTTAAGAAATGGAAGTAAGCCTTGGATACCCATTTTGTCCTCACGTGAAAGGATTTCTTAATATATATCGCAATAAAGGCTTCATTTACAATTTCTCATCGCGTTTGCACCATCTCTTTCGTCTTGAATTTGGCCGAATTCTTAGGT